TCTAGACTATTGATGAAGCTTTAGATTAGTGTCGATAATTAAAGGAAAGTTTTATGAACTTAAAAACAAATCTGGAGAACTTCAGTGAAAATCATAAATCTATATTAAAGATTTCGTTCTAATTCCATGAAAATTGCGGGAGCACAAAAGTTCCATAAATTTAGAAAAACTTCGGAAACTTCACAGACGGACAGTGGTCTTTTCGAAAACCAAAAAAATATATTTATTTTTCAAGTTTATTTCTTATTTCTTTATTTCAAAGTGTGAATGAAAATAAGGAGAATTCATTATTGTCTTTAAAATATCCTTAGTAAAAAACGTTTTAAATTCTTTGAGACTTCCAGGTATTTTAAGGAAAAAAAAATTCTGAGGATTCCCAGCTTTCCAGATTTTTGAAGTTAGTAGACACCGTGACTAATACCGTGGGTTTGATTATAAACTTTCTATTGAGTCTTTCGCTTTAAAGGTTCGTAGCGTACATAAGTGTTTATGAGATAATAATTGAATGAGTCTAAAACATCAAACATTTATTTGATGCGCCTTCGCTTAGGTCACTTTTTAGTCACTATTTTTACAAATTTAAGTCACTATTTGGTCACTTATTTATTCAACATGGTCACTTATTCTGACAGCAATGATCGCTACCAGCCCTGATGATGCGAAAGAATACTGTGAATCTTTAAATTTGCCGAACCTCTTAACGGAATTCCTTCATGAAGAGCTTTGAGTTTGTTGGTTATTTCCTTTTAATTCCGTTTGACAGATACGCGTATTTCGTCTACTACTTGCAGACTTCAACAGTACTCAACACCACTGTGACTTTTCTCAAATCAAACGTTTGGTTTCCAATAAGTAGGTGCTTAGTACAACATTAATTGAAAATTTGGGAGATTCAATTATTGAATTTCAAAGTCAGAGCAAAAGTTGGTTCCAAGCAAAGTCAACTGGTTTCGGAAATTTGACCGGAACATGCTGCGGTTTAAAAGAACGCTGAGGCTAATTGCGACCTCAAACGAATAAAACTTATCACGTGACACCTCAAATCACATTAGAATTCAAAAACAAGTTCAATGGTAGTCATTTGGGAGGCCCAGTTCCACATTGGCCACACTTGGTCATGTTTCGATCCCCCGGAGAAGTAATGCCAGTTTCTGAATATGGCCAAAAACCTTTGAATGACATTAAAATTCAACAACCAGTTCGATGGCAGTTATAAGTAAATCCAGTAAATTTCCAGAAACCCTACCCAACAAACATTGAAAGCTGAATAAGAGCTGATGCAGGCAAAAATATGCTGCATGAGCTAAAAAATAGCTTATTCAGCTGTTAATCAGCTCAAATTGTTTGTTGGGCTAGCAGTAGCCAGTTTTAGCCATGGATCAAAATCCATTATGCGATGCCTCAACTCACATGAGAATTCATCTACTTCCTCAATGCTGCTCTGTTTAAGAAAGTTGTGACTAGGAAAGTAAACATAAAATCATGTTGATGAGCGCGTAGGAAAATGTAAACAAACCGAAGGCTTGGTTCACACCGAAATCTGGGACGTTTCGGTGAACCGTCTGCCTGACGATTCTGCGCATCCAACTGACTGTAAAACATATCTGATACCTCTATATATGCAATTAGATTAACATCTGAACTACCCATAATCGCATATCAGTCCCATCTTTGCTTGATTTCCTATCCATATGGGACTGATATGCGATTATGGGCAGTTAAGTTCATCCTTTTTTACATATCCTGCACTAAAAATACTTTCAAAACTTCGCCCCTGACAGGATTTTCCGTTGTTGTTTTTTTATGAATGGTGCGGGCCAGAAAGTATCTTTTGTGTAGAATATGTAAAGATGGACTTCTGATGTTAATCTAATTGCATATATAAAGGTACCAGATATGTTTTACAGTCAGTAAATCACAATCATCATCGTGAGCGAATTTTTTTCTCAAATTCGAACGTTTTGGCTCTCTGGGCAGAAGCGGGTAAAACAGGAATGGATTTTTTCATAATAATGTGTTTATTTTTCCAGGCTCATTTACTGTAGCTTTGCGGAGCCGATATTCATTGTTTAGATTACAAAATTACTTAAAACTAACGTTAGTAAAGCGGGGGTTAGGGGTAACAAATTGTAACAAATGGATGGCAGGGTGGGGATTGAGAACACAAGGTTTGGAGAGCAATGTGCTCTTGATTTCGAACTAAGCGACATACTGATGAAAAAGACAAACATGGGGTATTAATGGAATTAATTTTACTTAATTGTAGTTTGTTAATTGTTTTTTAATGGAAAAAAGTGATCGTCAAAGTTTATGTCTTTTTCAGGTTTTCTTTAGAGGGGGGAGGGGTTTTTTGTATAAATAATTTCCAAGTTTCGATCTAGTTGAACCCAAGTCCCCTTCGACCCCATCGCGGGGTGTCAAGGTAATCACGCCGTGATTGACCTCTAGGAGTGTTTACATCTGTGATGATTTGCTAGCGCTAGTGTACTAGCCAATTAGCACATGCTGGTAGACGCTGATGCCCTGCTTACATTATGCTGGATACTTTTTTGCACAGTGGTGGTACATTAGCGCTAGCAAATCCGCACATATGTAAACACCACATTAACCGCTGACTTGCTCCTGCAGGACCCACTGCCATCCGAAGCGGCAATGAGCAGAGGCACGACAGCAGTGCTTTTTTATATCTTTAAGGTTCAAGCAGAACGATGTGCCACCAAATGGTTGCTCGATTATGAAGACTGGGGAAAACGTTTATTTCATAAAAACAGTGATAAAATTATCATTTGTACGTTTTTCAAAAGTTTTTTATGGAAAATTGTAAAAGTATTTATTTCAGCAGATTCGTAAAGTAATATCCTATTGGATGAAGTATTTGGATTTTAATTTCATCTATAATTGACAAAGTTACAAGCGTTCAAAACCTAACACTATTTCACCATACATATTTTTTGATTTGCATCCCAGTATAGTCGACAAAGAGGTAGGGTAAATTATGGCTTCGGCACCCATTGACTGTTTTCGGCAACCGAAATTGAAACGTTAATTTCACTGTATTTTCCCATCAAAACTCTTCGCTGAATGTATTAAGCCGATTCCTTACCTTTTCAGCTTCAATCTGATTACATTTTTACGACTGTTATGCCATATTTTTCTTTAAATTAAATATACACACTACAAAATACGGCTGATTTCGAGTTGCCGATAATAGAACAGCTGGTTAACACGCAGTTCAAATGGAAAGGGTGCCGAAGAAAAAAAGACTGCCGACAATAGTCACACTCACCTGAGAAGTTTGGAGCGTTGTAAAAACATGTTCAACCCGTTTTGATCAATTCTGTCGATTGGAATTGGTAGAACAGCAAGCAGTAGATAAATGTCAACAAACAAACCTGTCATGTATGTGTGTGACGTTGAGAAATCGCTAATAGAAGTTCGGACGCTGCTTAGATTGACGAGAATACGTAAATTCCCCTAGTTCTATGTCAAAATGTAATGGCAGTTCTTGCAATGTTCTAGTGTTAGCAGAATGCAACATTTCAGTATAAAACCGTCACGAGATGATGTTCTAGACACAATGCATTTAGGGAAAAAAAACTTTGCTCGAAAAATAAGCTAACATTAAAATTACAAAATTATTTAAAAAACCTTCAGGCGACCACATCACTGAATCTGATCATGTCGCGAAGCATTGCAAATTCTGCATACCTTTCATGCAAATATAAATTATAATCTTATGTTTCCCAATTGGTGGGTGCAGGGTTTGAAAGTAGAAAGGCTTTTGAAATATAAAAAAATTTAATTGATCTGGCAAAAAATTAACATGTTCGATTTTGCATTATCTCAACCTGATTTATAAAAAATACTGTACTACTTGCTTCAATGCCAACGCAAACAGCGGTCACTTCCCAATGTTGTTGCTCTGAATAGTAAAATCAGGCAGTGCGTGCGATTCCAAAAACAGAAAAAATAATAATAAAAGAACACAGCCATTTCCTGCTTTCCCTAATTTTTCGCACCTCGTATTAAGTATCCATATAAAATCTCCGCTGTGTTACTAATGTCTGACACGGGAGTTTGCTCTTTATACCTACTATAGATACGTGGAAATCCCGCCGACAACCAACGTTCGCATTCATCGCAGGAACGTATTATTTTTAGCTTCGTTAGTAATTTGCCGGCGTCTATTATTAAAATCCATGCCAAACAACACTTCTCTGCTCTCATTCTGCACTTTTCCTGGTTCTGGGAGTTTTCCCTATTTTGCATGCACGGCCCATGAGAGTAACTCATTAACTGAGCCGAATTCGACTCAAAATTGCAAAAAGTGTGGTTACGCAGTTAATGAGTAAAATTTTCCTTGCTTTTCCAGGAAAAACTGCTTGAAGATAAGGAACATCTACGAAAATTTGACTCCGTCTCGATTTCCCTCATATTCAAGAAGTTTTTCCTGGAAATCGAGGAAAATTTTACTGACCTACTGAGTAACCCCAATTTTTGCAATTTTTCGACTCAGTTACTGAGCTACTCACATTGGCCGTGTACACACCACCGTCGTAAATATTTAGAGTAAAAATGCTCTCTGCTACACACTTCTTCTGCTATTATCATGTGCAGAACACGTTCTGACTGAAGCAGAAGGCATCATCAATTGCCGTAGCCGCGCAGTGCACGGCCAAATAATCTGTTTTGAATGCCCCAGAAGTTAAATTTAGCTCATTTTACTACTACGCGATACCCACTATAACGGGTGCTCGATTCTTCCTCGAAAAAGTAAAATACAACCAACGACGGCGGTGTATGTTTGATTTCAAGGGAAATTGGCGAATCTCAACGAGTAAACGACGCGATGATGACACAACACAACACAGAGGGTAATCACCTTACGCCATGGAGTAACATGGCAATGCTTGTTTATTTTTTTTGCAGCAATAATAATCCAACAATGGTGAATTTCAAAATGACTAATCTCGTGTATGCTTTTTTTTTCGACATTCCAGGGTTCGCCAAATATGCAGATGCGCGGAACGGGCGCCCGATGGCGACCGGCCGAGGAGCATATCGGCAAGTACAAACTGCTGAAAACCATCGGCAAAGGCAACTTCGCCAAGGTGAAACTGGCTAAGCACGTTCCGACGTCGAAGGAGGTGGCAATCAAAATCATCGACAAGACACAGCTGAATGCGTCCTCGCTGCAGAAGCTGTACCGGGAGGTAGGTTTATTTTGTTTTTATCGAGGATGTTATAACGGTTTAACTGAAGCACCATCGTGGAAAACGGAGGATAATCCAAAACTTGTGAACATCTGAGCTTCATTTTAAATTAATAAATTTATTTAATCTAAATGTATGTGTGAAGAGATGAAACTTTTTGGGTACCCTATCTTGCCAAAAACATTTTTTTAATGAACTGATCTTAAGAAAATACATTTATCTTTTAATATTTTAATGTTCTCGAACCTCTTAAAGGAATCCCTCTATGAAGAGCTTTTTGAGTGTGTTGATTAATTTCAGTGCCACTTGTGCCACAGTGAGTACTTGGCGTACACGCGTATCTGTCAAAAGATAAGCAATTATAACGGAATTAAAAGGAAATAACACACTGAAAAAGCTCTCTATAAAAATACATCTGAAAACGAAAGTTATGCACGGCACAAATCAGAAAGTCCACGTGGGCATCTGGGATTTCGGGTAGGTGTCGAGTCTATGTCCACTAGACTTGCCCATAAAAATAAAAATTCTAATTTTCCACAGGCCAACCTCTAGATTTGTGCCTTTAGGTGACAAAACCATTCTCTGAAAGTTTTAGCCTATTTAGTTGTAGGATGAGCTGGCGCTTTCAGTTTCAATTTTGTATGGCGATTTTGGGTAAAATACATGAAAAATGACACTCCTACACTGTTTCGATCATAAAAAAGTTTACTTATTCTCGATTTGATTCAGATTTTCAAAACTTGTAGTTCAAACAATGAGTAAAAACTTTGCTGAAGACTACATTATGAATCTGGTTAGTTTTATTGAGATATTCGTTTTTGAATGTGTATGAGAATTTTGTATAGGAAAATTTCAACCAAATCCCCTTTATAAACATTAAATCAAAAACACCAGTCCGTGTTACGTCAAAAACAGCTGATACATTCAGAGAGTAGTTATCTCACCCACACGAGTCTGGATGTTGACCTGTGGAAAATATGAACTTTTATTTTTATAGTGGTAATCTACTTGATACTTTGCATAAGCCGCCTGAATTTAGTTGCAATATACGAACATAATGGACATATAAATTCAAGAACGAATATCTGCATAATACTAACTTAAATAATGATGCTGTCTTGGGCAAAGTTGTTTCCTATAGAATAAGCTACATGTGCTGAAATTCTGAGCTTAAACATATGTGCTGAACCAGTTTTATGCACGAATGAGTGAAGGGATGTTATTTCTTCATACATTTCGAAAAAAATCCCCATTCAAACTATAAGCCAAAAGCGCCAGCTCGTGTTACATCCGAACGAGCTGAAATTTTCAGAGAGTGGTTTTTTCACTTAATGGCACAAATCTGGGGGTTGGCCCGTTGAAAAAAATGATAAAAAATTTCCCAAATAAATGTAGGCCAGTCTAATGTCCACGCTTTTCCACGTAAGGGGATGGGGTGAGTCCAAAACCATACTTTTTTCTAACCACGTGGTACTATTTTCATGGCTGAAACAGTGTTGCCAGGGACAGGGCTGGTAACGAGTCACTTTTTAGTGACTTGGTCACTTTTTTCAAGCCAGTCACTAAAAAGTCTCTTTTTTAAGGCCAAGTCACTAAAGTCACTTTTTCTTGTAATCAGTCACTATTTTCGACTATTTTAGCGTGAATTTATTTCAAAATTGATCATTCTTTGCTTTGTGGCGTTTAATCGTCTTTCTCTATCTACAGGGTGTCTACTCATTTTTCTTAATAGAATTACATGAGTTTTCCAAATTTTTTCCAGTACTTAAACGGATTAATTCCAGGTTTATAATAAGAAAGCTATTTTTTAAATGCGTTAAAATATGCTTTTTTTGCAGATCAAAAACAACAGCAATATACCCAAACTTTTTTTTTAAGACATGGCAATCAGTTTTAAAGAAACTGCTTTGCGAGAACTTTTAGCAATCAGTGATATCTTCAAGAAATTCCAGAGAACTTATAGTAAATTTAGATACTTTTAGATAGTTTCATGGTATTCAGCGAAGTTCCGAGTACTTCAAGGACGATCAGATAGCTTCAGAATTATACCACTAATTTAAGCAAATTTGCAGAGACTTACAAGGAGTTCCGTTATGGGGTATTCTATAAATTCTATAATTGATCCGAAAACGTCAGAAGCGTTAGGGAATTATGAATATATTTCAGAAAATTTGCCGGAACTTCAGGTAACCATAGATAAATTAGTGAGTGTTTATAATGGTTATAATACTTAACGGAAATTATCGAAACTTCAAGGCAACGTTAGAAACATTGCGGAAACTTTAGGCCTATAAAGTTCAGGAAAGTTTAAGAATTTGATGAAAAGTATTGTGAGCATCAGTGAGCATAGTTTCTCAAACTACAAAAGAATTTTAAGGCAGTTGAATTAACTTCAGAAAAAATTTGGGAACTTTCAAGACGTTCGGAAGACCTCAGAATAGTCTATTCTGATTTCCATTGAAATATTCCTCAAAATTTCAATAAAGCTATCCTCCTAAATTAATTTTCTTTTAGTTTTCCTCAGAAAGACCTTGAAATTCACCACAATAAGAAACCCTTTGGAAAAACTCTCCGAATATTTATTGAATTCATTTCAGATATCCTTCCCTTGGAATTCTACTCACATTGAAAGTCTCCTAAGAATTCAGTGGCATTTCTCCTCACAAATTCCTTAGATTTCTTCGCATAATTTGTTTGGCAAACCCTACTGAATTTATTTTCCGAATTCCTTTGAAGATGTTCTGGAGTTATTCTCAGATTTAATTGTCCTTTTAGTATTTTCAAAAAGGTTCCAAGGACTTATGCTCCGGATTCGTTTTCTTCCACAACTTTATAAAATTATCCACGAGCTTTTAAAACTGTGCATGGATTTTTACTCCAGATTCTTGAAAATTTCTTGAAGTATTATAGATTTTAAGTCCAGGACTAGTTCACATTTAAAATTTCTAGGAAATATGCATGTTTCAAACAAAAAAAATACAATTCAAGCCTCTGTTTTTTTTTTAAATATATATATGTTACTGAATATTAGTACAATGTGGATCTATAAAGTTAAAAGTGTAAATAACGAGAAACATTAAATGCATGTACTTTAAAATTCATTCTTTTCTTCAAATATCCTTAGTAAGAAATTTATTCAATTCTCTGAGCCTTCCAGGTATTTTAAGGAAAAATAAACTGTCCTGGGGATTCCCGGTTTTCCAGGTTTTTGCAGTTATTAGACACCCTGACTAATACCGTTGGTTTGGCCATACACTTTCTAATGAATCTTTCATTTTAAAGGTTCATATAGTACATAAGTGTTTATGAGATACTTGGTAGTCTAGATAGTCTTAAACATCAAACATTTATTTTCTCTTAGGTCACTTTTTAGTCACTATTTTTACAACTATAAGTCACTATTTGGTCACTTATGTCTTCAACATGGTCACTAAAATCACTATTTTTGACACCAGTGATCACTACCAGTCCTGCAGGGAGAGAAATGTCGAACTCAGCTAGCTTGGCATCCATTTCTGACAGATGAAAAAAAATTTAAAAGAGGTTTACATATTTTTAGGTTTATTGAAAAATTAATCAACTTATATTTTTCATATAAAAAAAATACCAAAAATTTTATTGGAATTACCGTTTTTTTTTGTCCACATAAAACCGGTAATTTCGGTTTGGTATATCTGGACGGTTTTCTGGATTTCGGTAACGTTAAAACCGGTACTTCCAACCCTAGTTAGCACTAGGTCTGTTCCCGTACTTGCTTTTCTGTAAGATTCTGTACAGCAAAAATCAAAAGCATGTTCCCGTACTTGCTGAACCAAATTATTTTTTATAGCAACTGCAGCTGCAGCAAACTACAGCAAAAGCCAAAAATAATGTACGGGAACCGATCTATTGACTGTGATGGTGGTAAGCTCTAACTCGGATTAACGGATTAACAACCCGTTATTTGTAATCGGGATTTAATCCGAGCATAATATCGGTTGAAGCTTACCACCATTGAATGAATCAAATATTCAGGGTGGCCACTGAACCGGGAAAACCGGGAATTAACCGAGAGTCGAAAACTATCGAGAAAAACCGGGAGTTCGATTGGAGCCTTAAAATAAATTTTAATACCTTTTTAAATAAAAATGCTGCGTTGCGTTGCCTTTGTAACGGAGTAATTCGTAGATTGCATACTGACAACTGTCATCTATCAACTTTAACGTTCTTATTCTGATTGCTTAAGGAAAACTATTTGGAAGTGAATAGTTCTCCAATCAAAGTTTAGAACAGGAAAAGCATGACAATTGCCATTGCCGGCCACGCCCATCTTCTCCGTTACGGGGAAGGAAGGATATTGTTGATGTAACATCTACTTCGGGGTTGGATGGTGGTATGGGTATGGGTCAGGATTCGCTTAAGCAGGCGATGCGACCATTTTTATGATTTATTTATATTTAGGAGGAGCTTGGGAGTAAACCCACGATCTTATAATCAGTAATCAAAAGCGGCAGCCATCAAGCTAGCCGAACTCCTTAAATTTTAGAACCGATCTACACGTATTTGAAAAAAAAGAAGTTTGATAAATAAATTAAAAGATGAAATATGATTACTTTATAACTTAAATATAATTATCAACAGCGAACAAATCTGTGAAAACTGATCATCTGGACTCACTGCCAAGTATTCCGTGAGTGGCACGTATGCTAAGACATTCTGGTCAAAATTTCCAATAGGTGGCGACAATAGTTCCAGTTTTTGCATAAACCCTTGTATAACAAGAGTTGATGTCTTCTATCAGTAATAAAGATAATATCAGTGCTATCATTTCAAAATGGTACAACCGCTTCCGTCAACAATGGCTTCAGCCATTGATCTCCCGGGAACAAAAGCTCACACATGCAAACCGCCGATATCATCAGATAGAGGAATGTTTCCTCTATCAGCTGGCAACGGTAATCTACAGGAGTGAGCCTCTATCTCCGAAATGAGATTGCATGGTTGGGTTGTCTGTTAAAAAA